TCTGTCAGCGGGAATTCACATTTTGTGGGAAAGTAAAACTGAACATTGTAATTTAGCTGTTCTGTGATGATTTTATAATAACAGTTACACACTTCTGTCTTCTTGTTCCTTGTTCTCTGACACTACATGAGGGAAAAGTGGAGTAAAAATATGATAGATAATATATGATCATAAATTAACACCTGTCTGTGTGTATTTAGTCTAAAAGGAGATCTGTAATGTGAGCACAACAGCAGTAACAGTTGCAGTAAGAGCCTCATCCAGCTGTGCGCTCCCTGTCGGGGTGTCTTCCAGGTGTCGGAGGAGTCATGCCGAGCTCAGTTTTTGGTTCCAGTCACGGCTCAGGGTCAGAATCGGGCCAAGGCCTCTCTGGAGCGAGCGCAGAACCTCAACCCAATGGTGAAAGTGCACGCTGACCCAGACAGAATCGAAGACAAACCGAACGACTTCTTCCTCCAGTTCGATGCGGTGAGTTTAACACGCTGACTCCTCTCTCGTCACCAGAGGTGCAAGATAAGGAGGTGAGGCGACAGAAATTTAAACCAATGAGACATGCTTACCTCAGAGCTGCTGTTTTAAAGTAAATTCCAGTTAAAAATGACACCTGGCTGTCACTGTCATTGTTTTGTTGTTGCTTACTTGGTTATTTTACCATCTCATGCGCAGTGCAGGCACAACAGTGTTCACGAGAGCTTTTATATTTACGTCTGGTTTTATTTAAATTGATAGTAAAGCCCAAGGTGAAAAGATTGAACTTTTTAACACACTAAATGTAAAAGGTGGAACGTTTCATCAAATGTTTTATCGTCTTAAATAAATAAAACAACTTATGAATGAAAGGAGCATTTGGTTGTTGTTTCACCTCCCGCTGTGCTTTCTTGATTCATAGCTTATTAACTGACTTCTGAGCCACAGGCCGGAAGACACGTCAAGTCTAGTGCATCAAGTCTTGTCCAGATCAAAAATCACTCCTAAAAAAATTAAACACTTTGAAAAAGAATCAGATCTCAACATGGGGAAAAATGGCTAAAAAGTGCCGGGCAGTGAGCACAGGGCCGAAGAGAGGCCTGAGGCCAGCCTCTTGAAGTCTGTTTTTGTCTGTTTGGTCAGAATTCACACCAGTGGCCCATTGGAGGTCACTTTATAGCTCTGACAGTGCTCATCCTCTTCCTCCTCACCTAAAGGAACAGATACCGATCCTGGTTCTTGGTTACGGGCTTTCTACGGTCCTGTGCAGCTGTTTGTCTCCCGGGATGTCCTCCATGTTCTTGAGACTGTGCTGGCAGACACAGCAATAACACACAGCAGTAACAATAAGTAATCCTGGAGGAGGTGGCCTACCTGTGCAACCTCTATGGGCGTCCAGTATCGCCTCATGCTACCAGTCTTCACACTGACCCTAACCAAATGCAAAACAGTCAGAAAAGATGAGGAGGGAGGAAACTTCTCCACCTGTAAAACCTTTCCTGTTTTGAGGATCGTCTCATTGTTGCCCCTCTAGTGCACCTGCTGTTAATTTCAGTGACCCCGAAAACAGCTGAAACTGATTAAAAACCCGCCCTGCTGCTTAACCGACCAGATCGATATCCCAGAAGAAGAACTCTGATTAAAAAATGTCCTGTTACATTTTTCAGCAGTGACTGTACCTCACAGGTTGACCACTAGGTGGTGCTAGCAGACCATGTGGTGCGCCGAAACACCTGCGGTGAGATAATGTCTGCAAGGTGTGGTAATGACATGAGCTTCATTGTCCAGCCAGTGAAAATAGTGACGTTTAGAATTAGATGCTACACTGATATAATTAATATATAATTATATGCAGATTCTAAACACAGCCATGCTGCTGTGTGTGTGAGGAGATTAAACCTGAAACTGAACAACTTAAACCCCGAGAGGCTGGAAGGAAGAAGGGCCACATTAACCCCCCCCAACCCTAACCCACCTTTCACTAAGACCACACTGACTTAAAGCATCCACCTGTCAAACCGCGGTGAGCAGACTTTCCCTGTTTGTGCAGACTTTCCCTGTTTGTGCAGACTTTCCCTGTTTGTGTAGACTTTGCCTGCGGGAATTATCCACACTTCAGACTGTTGCAACATTAAACATGGGGGTAACAGGGGAAGCCCTGAAGCTTTAGGGAAAAGGGCAAACAAGGAATAAAAAGACTAAACTAAGCGAATGGATTATTTAACAGCGTCGTTCACTCAGTGAGCCGGCAGAAGGATGTCCGGCTCAGCGAGTCGATCTCTTTGCTGATTCGGGTGTGAAGAAAATCAAAGTCTCTAATCAAAAAGCAGCACAGGACACGTTATTGCGTGATACATAACATAAGATCAGGTGGTGCGTCTCATTCCTGTTTATTTAGTCTGAGTCACCTGTGATGGTTTGATGGCGTTTGGAATGGAGCCCTAAATATTGTCACGCATATTTATTTCAGTTAAAGGAGGAGTTCTTACAGTTGTTTTCTTTTTTTATTAGCTTTTGATTTCTTGGAGTCTTTATTTTATTTCAGTTTAGTGTTTTTATTTAGAGTTTTGGAGCGGTGATGCAGCGGTGCAGCATGGAGGTTGTGGGTTTGAATCCGGCAGCTGGCTGGCTCGGGCACTTCTGCGTGGAGTTTGCATGTTCTTCCTTTGCCTGTGTGAGTTTCTCCGGGTCGTCCAGCTTCCTGGTTGTCTTCCTGATTGCTACTTGTCCTGGGTGGCTTTCACCCTATGCTAGGTGGGCTCTGGCGCCCACGCCATTACCAGGAGATCATGAAAACTGGTCCCAGATCAAGACCTAGTTGAATTTTCTGACTGCATCACCAGGATCAGGAGATACTTTTAACAAGAGAGTAATAATAATGACCTTTTTCATAGTGTAGGAGCTCAGGATTAAGATATTACATTTCTGTTTTCCTTGTAATAGAAATTTACTTCCCTCTTTGAGTTCATCGTGTAAAATATGATGTAGCGAGTAGCTGGTGCTAAATACCGTGACAGTATTTTTGTGTTGTTGTCAGGAAAAACAAATGAATGATCGCATTTTACATTCGGTTTCATTGCTTAGGCGCGATCTAAGTTTTGTCAGCTGACGGCGAGAATTCATTTGAACACCATCAGAAGAATAACAGATTTTTTTCCCCCTCCCGTTGAGCCAGAATCGTCGGCAGTCTTCCTCCCTCCGGGGGTGCTAAATGAGTGTCAGGAGGAGGGAAAGTAGTACAGGAGGAAGACGAGGGTGGGAGCAGTAAGACAAAAAAGAGTGAGGACAGGTTGAGAAGGATGTTAGTAGGACAGATGGAGGGAGGACGAAACTTTTAAAGAAGAGAAGGTGAAACAAAAAATAGAAAGAAATGATTAAAAAAAGGTGGAAAACAGGAGGGGGTCTCTGCTGCTTTTATCTGCTTCCACTGATGTGTCTGTGTGTGGCTCAGCGGGAAGATGGAGGGTGATTAAAGCGAAGCAGTTGGAGTGTGGTCGCAGTTTTCATCTGAGAAGCCCAATTACTGAGGGATGAATACAATAGAAAAGTACACAGTGTCCATCTGTGTGCCTGCAGAGAGCTGCCGACAGTGTTTACAATTCAGACTCTTTGGTTTCAAGTAGGAAAGAAGAGGAAAAAATCGCACGTCATAACTAACAAACACGCTGATAAATCTGAAATGTATCCTTTTACCCCTTAATTATTGTTAAAAAATATAATTATCTGCATTTTTTTCCTTTAAAGACAATAAATCTGTGCTGCTAATTTTACAGGGTTTTCCTGTTATATCTGACAGTTTGATCAATAAAATGCAGCGTTGTGCACGACTAAATAAAACTCACAATTAACAAAATGGTTAAAAATAGATGCTGGTTATTTCCCTCTGGCTCGGTTTGGGGCAGGCACCAAAATTCACCAAAGTTTCTTGTTTAAAAAAACCTCCTCAAACGTCGACCTTTGAAATGTAATCCAAGGTTTTCCAAGCGTGCAAGAGGTTTTTCCTCTCCCAGTGGCCCAAACTCTTCAGTGTTCAGTCGAACTGAAACATCTGGCTACGGCGAGCCTCTCGTGGTTATTTCTGATGCTGCTCTTATATATAAAACATTTATATGTTTGTATGTAACTTTATATGTAACTCAAAGGAGAATCTGTAACTATTTTATTTTTATTTAAGTGGACTTAAATGTACTTAAGCGTGAAATGGTCTTTGATTAATGTAAAGGTAAAACACTGGCTTAGACTCACTGCCTAATCTGTATGCCGATGAATCATGCTTCATTTCCCAAAGGCCAATTATGAGGCAGAACAAACCCAGTCGTGTTGTCAGAAGTTCTTATTTTCACCTCCCTGTTATTATTCCACAAAGACGCTTTTAACAGCTATGTGTTTGGTCCTGCATGCGTCTCTGCTCGTAACTTCATTTTTCTACATTTTCTGTATTTGGATGTGAACAAAGGTCCTGTTAAATGATGCTGTTACAGTGAAAACACAGGCACACATTAAAATACCCGTGGTTATCTGATATGAAAAACATAAACGTCTTCTTTGGACACTGGTTTGGCTGCATGCAGCTTGTTTGTGAGCAGGAAGAGGTCGTGCATTTGCTGAGACCTGGAAACCACCAGCTATCGTTGGCGTTTGATTTAACTTTTCTTTAGCTCCTCAGAGTTTATCTGCCGTTTATCCTGAAAAGGATATCCAGGCTAGTGTGGGGCGTTTCACTTTGTAAAAGCACTCTGACCTGTGCAACAGTGTGAAATGTATAAGTGCTATCATTATGCCTCAGTTAAACACTGA